CCCAGAGAGTGAAGAAGAGGCAGACAAGAACAAAGAGGAAGGAGGAGATGAAGCACGTGATGATCCAGAGAGTAAAGAAGAGGCAAACAAGAACAAAGCAGAAGAAGGAGGAGATGAAGCAAGCGATGACCCAGAGAGTGAAGAAGAGGCAGAGACAGAAAACAAAGAAGACCAGGATGGAGGAAAAGATGAGGATGAAGCAAATAAAGATGAAGATAGACAAGGGGATGAGGAGCAGGCTCGACGTGAGCTGAAGGAACTTTGGGACCGGCTTGACTCTCTGACTCCAGAAGAAATGGAATGTCTGAAGAGAAAGGAAGCCGAGCTTATGAGTCCAGAGGAAGTTGAAGCCATGCACGCTTTGCTCTCCCAGGCTCATGACGATGATGTCATTGTAACTGAAGAGGGTGACTCTGAGGAAGAAGTTACCAGAAGCCCATCGCTGGACCCAGTTCCGAAAAGCATGCCAAATTCTATGCGGCGATATGAGAATACCAACTCAAGGACTGAAGATGAGGAGGACAATGTGAGCGTGGTGGCGAGTGAAGCTGAGGATGCAGAAGACACTGACCTTGAAGGATGCAGTGCACATGGTAATGGGAAAAGTGATGAATCTTCAGATGAAGGGATGTCCACCACAAGCAAAACAAGGATTCCTGAAGAATCTGAAAACCACTGTTCAAAGGGCAACGGAGAAGGTGCAATGGATGGAGATGAGGATGATAAAGGTCAGGACAGTGAGGCGTCGAATGAGAAGAAGGAAGAAGAAAAGTATATCAAGAAAGAAGAAACCAGTAAAGTGAAAGGTGAGGAGAAAATGGAGTCCAGCGCAGAAGATGATTCAGAGTCAAAGGATGAAGAGAGCAGCAGTAGCAACAGCAGTGAGGACAGTGAATCGGAGGAGGACGAGGAGGTGGACCCTGGTTTGCAAATCAAGATCAGACCCCAATATCCGAAGACCAATCTTAAAAGATGGTCACGTACCAAGCGATCCACTCCCTTTCATTCTTCGTGGTGTTCATGGGTGCAAAAAAGGCAAACAACAATACCAGAGATACTACTCAGACTCCGAAAGATGGCAGCTGTGTTTTTGCTCAACACTCTTTTTTAATGTGCGTGTTCTTTGTATTTCTTCCCGGCCTATATATTAGTGTGGTAGTGTGTGTTGTTGGACATCCCCCGTCCACTGCCGAGAACAACTTGCTGGATGCTGTGAAGAAGGACTTGGAGCAACCAGAGCCACGTAAGACAGTGGTGCCCCACACAGAAGATCCACCACTGCGCCGTGTAAGGTCAAAAAACCCAATGTGCCTTGGCAAACATTAATTGCAGTTGCTGAGTTGAACACCTTTTTGCTAGTTCAACTGGTTCAAAAGATTTGTTTCGTGAAGTGACCACCAGTTTCCCAAACAAGGAGGCTGAGCATCAACATACAATTGGGAGTGGCCTGTGGCCTGTGGGGTCTGGATTTCCCACTTGTCATCACATCTCAGGTGCTCCACCCAAGGTGAAGGACAGTGCGACAAAAAGCCCATGCGCCTCTGCTACCCACGTAAAGGAAGAGGAGCCAGTCGACAAGGCCTGGCATATTCCAAATGAACTGTGCAGTTGAGTGGTCTCTTATACTGTTATGGACTTGGAGGCATCAACCATGAAGGGCCGTGAAAAGAAAAGCCTTTTGCACGTTGAGAACTTTGAGGACTTCCGTGACTTCTCAAATTCCCGGTTCAAAGTGACAATATCACGTGTTCAGCAAGAAGCTTTGAGCAGGGCAGGGGGTAAAGTACTGCATCCTGCACAACAAATTGAGCTGATGAACGCAAAGAAAGGTAAATCAAGCAGAGCGCACCTTGAATCTAAGTGTGCAGGTCTGATGTGATCTAATTTTTGTTTGCTGTAGGAACTTGGAACCAAAAAGCTAAGGCAATATGTGACCCTGGAAAAGCTACACGTTCAGGATGGCTGGGTGGTGGAATATCGTCAGCGGCAATCGGGAGTACATGAAGGAGATATCTATTGTGTCTTCGTTTCAAGCGCGGGCAAGAATTTCTATGCAAAGAGCCTTGGCAGTGCTTAAACATAAAAAAAACTCATGAGCTGGCAGTCGTTGCTTGACCCAAACCAAGCCTGGTAGCAACTTAAAAATGTCATATGCATTTCCCAGGTCGGCTGCAACGAAGCAAGGCTTCAGTGACCCACTTGGGAAAGTGAAGGAGACAATGACCAGGTTCCTTGTCATTTAGTTTAAACAAAAGCTGCTTGCAGTAACTCACAGTGTCGAAACGAGTACACACCCAAGGTTGAAGAAAGAGAAGGCAAAGCCAAAGACCAAATTGGCTGAGGTCAAGGTGGAAAATCCTCACCCGGAGGAAAAGCCTACGTGCAAAAAGTCACGGAAGGCTACACAAAAGAAAGGGAAAAAGTGATCCCTCGTATTTTTGTATTGTAGGGACCCTGGGACCCTGTAAATACTACTTGGATACAACCGAAATTTGGTTCCTGTGTTTTTGGTGTGCTGAATCTTGCACTACAGTACAGTGCTTGTTGGTTGATTCAAGACTGGTCATAGCATGTTATAGCAGGGTCCCAAAATTCTTGTCGGACGCACCAGTTTCGAGACCAGGGTCCTCTGACCCCTGATAGGTCACCAATCGAGACATGCTAGAGCCCAACAACCCTCAAGCTCTAGTAATGACCTGTTGGGGTGAAAGGGGGGTTCGAGGATCCGTTTGCACCAATTTGGATCTGCTTGTGTTTTGCCCAGCTACATTTTGAGATGGGCATGTTTGGCACAAAGGACGCTTGGGGAACCTTTCACCCACCTGATCTCTGGTGGCGAAAAACACCTTTACACACGCTCTGGCCTTTGTGAATGCAGACACAGGATGTAGTCAGAGCCTGCAAGCGCGCAAATGGCTTAGCTGTTTTTTTCGGCCTGCACCAGCATTTTGGTGCCCAAGCTGTTCTTAATTTTTTGGGTGCCATGGATCCCAAAAAAATGCTGGTCCTCCTTCACCTGATGGCGCAAGTCCCTATGCCATCTGAGGATAAAGCATTGGATGTTGTTCCCTGATTGCAATCGGTATTGAATACTGTATTTGTTTCCATCACTGTGCTCATCAACTGCCAGGTTGAGATTTGTGCAGGTGACTGTGCATTGAGCAGAGCAATGGTCGCCGGGGGTATGGCAACAAAACCTTT